ATATATATATATATATATATATATATATATATATGAGTTGTGTAAAAATTGACTGATTTTAGAAAAAAATAGATGATGATAATCATGCTAATAAATTAAGGGAAATGCTAATGGAAAACTTGTTAAAGAGATTAAAAAGATAAACCAAGTGTTATTAGAGAAACTAAAATGATAATTTATTTTTTAAAAATACGTGGATTCAATGTATTGAAAACATAAATAATTAGTTCTTTTTAAAGAAAATATTTTATTTATTCAATGCAATAGAGATATACTATTTTTTATATTTGAGATTCTTAACCTGTGCTCTAGAACCAACACCAATTAGCATGACCCATTAATTAATAGTAGAAAACTTGTTTGGACACAAAAGCACAAGTTAGAAGATTTATACGCTTAGTTGTCAAATCCAAGATATCATTTGTCCAAAACTAAAATTATATTTTTAGCATTCATATTTCACGAAGAAAAAAAAATTATTTTATATTTTTGTCTATGCTTCCTAATTCAAACATTGTAATTCGTTTTAAAAACGTTATACAACTTTTAAAAATTTCTCCACCTTTCATTTTTTAACAAAGTTGTTCAAATTATTTGACAACAAAACATAACACAAACGTTGTTAAACAAAGTTGTCTAAAATATTTTACAACAAAACATAAAACAAACATTCTAATAGTCATATATAATAAGACCAAACATCATTCACAATTATCATATATTTCAATTCAACAAAAGTTCATGTCTATATCTAAAGTTTTTTGGGTTATATCCCTTATTAGTCTCCAATTTTTGTTGGCAAATTGTTATTCTACAAAGAGTCTTGTTCCGGCTTTGTATGTTTTTGGTGATTCAACAGTAGATGCTGGAAATAACAACAATTTGAATACCGTTGCCAAAGCTAATACTTTCCCTTATGGCATAGATTTCAATAATTGCTCTACTGGAAGGTTTAGCAATGGCAAAACCTTTGCAGATCTTATTGGTATCTCATATTATTCATTATTATGATACCTCTTGAAATTTAGTTTTAATCATTATGGTTTCTTGAATTGCAAGTAAACATTTTCTAAGATGATTTTTTGCAGCTATTAAATTAGGTTTACCGATGCCACCTCCATACATCGGTGTCTCGGCAACTGACAGATATCAAATAGCATCGGGTATCAACTATGCATCGGGTTCATGTGGAATCTTGAATTCAACAAGAAATGTAAGAAAGAAAAAATTCAATGTATACATTTTTAATCTGCAGATGAAGTGATAATAATTACTACGCGTCTCCTGGGTTTGAACCCTAGGATTAACTTTCAACCTAACTATAACTAGTTTTTGTCAGTTGAATTAGTATTTGTGACCTAACTATATATTTTTTGTGTGTTTAAGGGAGAATGCTTGTCATTGGAGAAACAAATTGAATATTTCACTTCAACAGTGATGAATGATCTTCCAAGAAACTTTCAGAGCAAAACAAAATTGAAAAAATACTTATCAAAATCTATATTTCTATTATCAACTGGTTCCAATGATTACCTTCTCAATTATTTTAAACAAGTGGGAAAAAACAAAATGGTTAATCCTGAAGAATTTACAGATTACCTTATCGACCAACTTGGTTCCAATATTAAAGTAAGTTTTAATATATTTGATGACTTAACATTAACAAAAGAAAAACAAAATCACCATAACACATGATATTTCTGACCAATATTCTCTGCATTCATTAATTCGACGCATTCACATATTCCACATTTTTTCGGCCGTTAGATTAAAATAAGCAGTTAAATTGGAAGTTAATTTTTTATTTATTTAATATAAAATAAAATAATTTTTAATTTTTTAAATGTATATATTTGTAAAATGTAAAATGTATGAATATGACCAACTTTGACTATAGTATATCTCATTTTTTTTATATTTGATAGTAATAAACTGTAATAAAATAGAATAAGATCAAAACTGAAAATGAGATAATAAAAAAAACTAATTTTTAAAATAAATGGATATAATTATTAGAAATTAATAGTTAACTTTTCACTAACTATCTTTTTCTACAGAAAATTTATGATCTAGGTGGAAGAAAATTTGTGATAATTGGCATTGGTCCAATAGGTTGTATCCCAGGTCTTGTCATAAGAAAACCCCATACTCAAGATTGCAATGAACTTATTAATCAAGTAGTTAAGCTCTTCACAAACAAGCTTCCAAGAAAGCTTCAAGAGTTGAAATTGAAAGCCAAACTCTCAGGATCAATATTCACTATTTTGGACAGTTTCAACTTATTCATGAAAATACAAAATTCTCCTGAAAATTTTGGTGAGTTAATAAATAATAATTTATTGTAGTAAAACATTGTCACATGTTTTTTAATATTTCGTAACAATTACATTTTTTTTATTTTTAATGTTTAGGGTTGAAAAATATTTGGGATTCATGTGTTGGAGAAGGAGGAAAACCTTGTGGAAATCGAAAGGAGTATTATTTTTACGATTTTGCCCATAGCACTGAAGCTGTAAATGAAATATTTGCGGATAAATGTTTTGGTGGAAGGGGTGTATGTTTTCCTATGAATATTGAGAAATTAGTTCATGCACATTAATGTATGGAAATTATTGATTGTAATTATTTGTTTTTGTCATTATTATGAGTTATCTCCCAATTATACTTGACACACTCTGAAGTAGTGCTTTTATAATAATAATGCACAAAGTCCAATGCAGCTCTAACCTCTGCCAAAAATAACGTCATATGTATTTACACATTTTTTCTTCGATATGACGACTAGTATTTTTTTGCAAAAATTTGAGTAAATATTCAAATTTGTCTTTGGAGTTGTAGAATCCAATCAGTCTAATTCTTCATGTTATCAATATTATAAATGACCATGAAATTGCAAGACCCTAATCAATATACTGGGGTTATAATGATATTATGTTGATAATGGCAAGAGTTGAAACTAAGTATATAACAATGTTATTCATTTCACAGTAACTTTAGTTGGTGCTCCTTTGCAATGCTACCTCGATCAATTGCATATTTATTTTTAAGTTTGCCATTTGTAACCGCCAACATGTAATGTGTCAAAAAAATGCACATTTAAATAAACCAAAATCTATGTGTGGTCAAGAAATGCAAGTGAAAGTCACTGTAACTGTAGTCAATGAAATGCAAAGTCTATCAAGCACCCGGAGGAGGCATGCGCCTCTTCTAAATAATATTACGAAAATTTGATGCTGAAAATACATGTCCAGTATTCGATCAACCTCATCTAAAGCCAGATATTTAATCTTCTTCAAAGAAACTCTTTCTATCTTAATGATATCCACCAAGTTGCAACTAGAATACAAAAATCTGCTAACAATCTGTAGCTGGTTACAGTCATAAAAATAAATTAAATCCACACTGTAAAAATTCATAAACCAACAAATTAAAATAACTACATAACACAAACCTATTGAATCCAATAGAAGCACCGTCATAAGTAACTGTGATTTCCACTCATGTTTTAGAAGCAAAATTGTTTGCTTTGACACGTATCTAACTAATATCAATTGTACTATGATTAAGTAGCAATTATATTTTGATATAGTTTGAATCAATAACATAGATCAGATTGAATATATGAAATTGATAACAATTTAAATCACTTGGTTAAATCAGTAACATATATCAGTTTGTGTATATGATATTTACAATAATTTGAATATGTAGTATTTGGATCGAACTCTAGTATCGACAAGGATAGCTTCATGGTTTGACAGGAGTTGTGTGTGCTGTAGTCAAATCTGGTCAAATATAATGTCGAAATATATTAACTTGTAATTTAAGTTAGTATGTCAAATTAGTCTTGCTTCTAAGCCCAATTGTTAAGTTAGTTTTTAGCCTAAGTTGGCTTACTAGTCTATAATTATACTAGTTCTCTCCTAGGTATTTCGATACACCTCTTCTCGGGCATTTCGATACATGCAAGTCGGTCCATTTACTCGAACCAAAAGCTCATACATACATACATATATATATATATATATATATATATATATATATATATATATATATATATATATATATATATATATATATATATATATATATATATATATATATATATATATATATATATATATATATATATATATATATATATATATATATATATATATATATATATATATATATATATATATATATATATATATATATATATATATATATATATATATATATATATATATATATATATATATATATATATATATATATATATATATATATATATATATATATATATATATATGAGTTGTGTTAAAATTGACTGATTTTAGAAGAAAATAGATGATGATAATCATGCTAATAAATTAAGGGAAATGCTAATGGAAAACTTGTTAAAGAGATTAAAAAGATAAACCGAGTGTTATTAGAGACACTAAAATGATAATTTATTTTTTAAAAATATGTGGATTCAATGTATTGAAAACATAAATAATTAGTTCTTTTTAAAGAAAATATTTTATTTATTCAATGCAATAGAGATATACTATTTTTTATATTTGAGATTCTTAACCTGTGCTCTAGAACCAACACCAATTAGCATGACCCATTAATTAATAGTAGAAAACTTGTTTGGACACAAAAGCACAAGTTAGAAGATTTATACGCTTAGTTGTCAAATCTAAGATATCATTTGTCCAAATCTAAAATTATATTTTTAGCATTCATATTTCACGAAGAAAAAAAATTATTTTATATTTTTGTCTATGCTTCCTAATTCAAACATTGTAATTCGTTTTAAAAACGTTATACAACTTTTAAAAATTTCTCCACCTTTCATTTTTTAACAAAGTTGTTCAAATTATTTGACAACAAAACATAACACAAACGTTGTTAAACAAAGTTGTCTAAAATATTTTACAACAAAACATAAAACAAACATTCTAATAGTCATATATAATAAGACCAAACATCATTCACAATTATCATATATTTCAATTCAACAAAAGTTCATGTCTATATCTAAAGTTTTTTGGGTTATATCCCTTATTAGTCTCCAATTTTTGTTGGCAAATTGTTATTCTACAAAGAGTCTTGTTCCGGCTTTGTATGTTTTTGGTGATTCAACAGTAGATGCTGGAAATAACAACAATTTGAACACCGTTGCCAAAGCTAATACTTTCCCTTATGGCGTAGATTTCAATAATTGCTCTACTGGAAGGTTTAGCAATGGCAAAACCTTTGCAGATCTTATTGGTATCTCATAATATTCATTACTATGATACCTCTTGAAATTTAGTTTTAATCATTATGGTTTCTTGAATTGCAAGTAAACATTTTCTAAGATGATTTTTTGCAGCTATTAAATTAGGTTTACCGATGCCACCTTCATACATCGGTGTCTCGGCAACTGACAGATATCAAATAGCATCGGGTATCAACTATGCATCAGGTTCATGTGGAATCTTGAATTCAACAAGAAATGTAAGAAAGAAAAAATTCAATGTATACATTTTTAATCTGCAGATGAAGTGATAATAATTACTATGCGTCTCCTGGGTTTGAACCCTAGGATTAACTTTCAACCTAACTATAACTAGTTTTAGTCAGTTGAATTAGTATTTGTGACCTAACTATATATTTTTTGTGTGTTTAAGGGAGAATGCTTGTCATTGGAGAAACAAATTGAATATTTCACTTCAACAGTGATGAATGATCTACCAAGAAACTTTCAGAGCAAAACAAAATTGAAAAAATACTTATCAAAATATATATTTCTATTATCAACTGGTTCCAATGATTACCTTCTCAATTATTTTAAACAAGTGGGAAAAACAAAATGGTTAATCCTGAAGAATTTACAGATTACCTTATCGACCAACTTGGTTCCAATATTAAAGTAAGTTTTAATATATTTGATGACTTAACATTAACAAAAGAAAAACAAAATCACCATAACACATGATATTTCTGACCAATATTCTCTGCATTCATTAATTCGACGCATTCACATATTCCACATTTTTTCGGCCGTTAGATTAAAATAAGCAGTTAAATTGGAAGTTAATTTTTTATTTATTTAATATAAAATAAAATAATTTTTAATTTTTTAAATGTATATATTTGTAAAATGTAAAATGTATGAATATGACCAACTTTGACTATAGTATATCTCATTTTTTTTATATTTGATAGTAATAAACTGTAATAAAATAGAATAAGATCAAAACTGAAAATGAGATAATAAAAAAAACTAATTTTTAAAATAAATGGATATAATTATTAGAAATTAATAGTTAACTTTTCACTAACTATCTTTTTCTACAGAAAATTTATGATCTAGGTGGAAGAAAATTTGTGATAATTGGCATTGGTCCAATAGGTTGTATCCCAGGTCTTGTCATAAGAAAACCCCATACTCAAGATTGCAATGAACTTATTAATCAAGTAGTTAAGCTCTTCACAAACAAGCTTCCAAGAAAGCTTCAAGAGTTGAAATTGAAAGCCAAACTCTCAGGATCAATATTCACTATTTTGGACAGTTTCAACTTATTCATGAAAATTTAAAATTCTCCTGAAAATTTTGGTGAGTTAATAAATAATAATTTATTGTAGTAAAAACATTGTCACATGTTTTTTAATATTTCGTAAATATTACATTTTTTTTTATTTTTAATGTTTAGGGTTTAAAAATATTTGGGATTCATGTGTTAGAGAAGGAGGAAAACCTTGTGGAAATCGAAAGGAATATTATTTTTACGATTTTGCCCATAGCACTGAAGCTGTAAATGAAATATTTGCGGATAAATGTTTTGGTGGAAGGGGTGTATGTTTTCCTATGAATATTAAGAAATTAGTTCATGCACATTGTCGCTACTGCGAAAATCGGCGCCAGCTATGACAGAAGAGTCGCCACCGTGCGTTATTTATCCCAACGGAGGGAAAGGAAACGCTCGAAGAAAACCTAAGGCAAAACGGGAAAGGAATGGTCATCGCAACCAAATCCTGGATTCGGGAGTCGGTTATGCAAGGGGAAGGTATTAGCACCCCTTACATCCATCGTACTCGACAGGATCCACGCTTGTTTTCTAGTACGGATTGTTATTCTATCTACGCTAAAGGTCTGGGTTAAAAAGAAAATAAAATTACTCGACAAAGTATCACACTTTATGCCTACGTATTCCCGTCTGACACGAGAAATCAGAGTCAACGTAGTTCGCCTAACTACGGGTTAAGGGGGGAAGGTTGCTCGCTAGGATACGGCATCCTGTGCCTACGTACTTTCATACAGCATGAAAGATCAGAGCAAACGTAGTTCGGGCTACGGAAGACACAAGCTTGTCTGACTATTTTTTATCTCCTCACGAAAGGGTTTTCCTGATTAAGAGTCCAAGTGGACAAAAATGACGTTTTGATTGGTTTTCAGTCTTTTACGCAAGAACCGTTTTTTATGATGTTTGCAATCTCTGACGCACTAGAGACTATGATTTGAGAGTGACTACGTCGTATGTCACCCTAAGGGTAACACACTAAGCAGTCAGATTACTGAAGAGTGACCCTCCAGCAACCTTTCTCAAATAGCTTAAGGCTCGTAGCGTACGGCATCGATTAACCTTATTACTGTATTTTTGAGTTGTTTTGAGATAAGAAGAGAAAGAAGCTCTAAAAAGCCTAGGGTTGAAAAGGGAATAAAAACTAATCTAATGTTGTCATGCATGGATAAGAATCCTAATGTCTGTCATAATTCCCTCCTGCACAAAGGAAATCAGAGATCCTAGGGGATAAACAGAAAAGAAAGCAAAAAAATACAGTAAAATGCATGCAATGCAGAAATACAAGCGAGGCAAGGGAGTTCCACTCAACCTCGAACCTGGGAAAACAACAAGCAAAGTGAATCAACATTCACCTCAAACCTAGGGGGCAAGCTACACAAGCCAACATACAATACAGAAAACAAAACCCAAAGGAGGCAGCCCAAGCAGCAGCACCAAACTCCTACAGCAGCTCTGACAGCAAAGTTGACAGTAACAACAAAAGGTTGACAGTAATGCCTCAAGCAAGATCCCATCTTCACTCTCCAATGATATTCAAATTTCAGATAAGCTCTTATCTCCAATAATCTTCAGCTTTAGCAAGCACTGAGCCCCAACAAGTAAACAGCTTCAAACAGCAGCGAAACCCTAATCTTCAACAGATACCCAGCTTTGACAGGCACAAGCTTCATCTCCACCAGTCCTCAATGAACTTCATCTTCAATAGGTTCCCTTTTCCAATGCAAACACTCACAGGATAGAATCAACTAAGAGATGAAGTTGGAATGTTAAGAGGCATAATGATAACCCCGGGAAATCATTAAGATCTTATCATAGCAAGTGAGAGGTATCCTCAAGGTTCTACCCAATCAAAGCATGTTGTACATCCCTCCTAAGGAGAGATGGAACTTCTTTGGGGGACCTTGTGTCATAGGATGGAATAGAGGCACAAGAAGCTCTCTATGTTTGACAGAAGAAATCAGTCTAATCTAAAGCTCTCCCTATATCTCCTATCTCCTAAGTCTTCAAAAGCCATCTTCAAGCAAGAGAATCTCCAAGCCCTAAGAATCATTCTTTGTCTCCAATCATCTTCCAAGTCTTCATGAGCTCCAACAAGCCAAACCCAAGCCCAACACCCAATGGAAATGCCCAAAATCCAACAGACAAAACAACATCCCAAGAGGGAAACACACCAATATCACCCAATTTGTAAAAATCAAATAAAATGGAAATACTTATCATAAAATCATAGATTAATTTCTAAGGGACCCTAACTATGTACCCTATACTCCACATAAACCCCAAGGCCTAGATCAAACTAAAAACCCAAAAACTATGTGTTGAAATGCACCTATGTCAAGGTAAACCCTAATCCTAATCACCCTAAAGTTTATGGTTCAAAACTAACTAAACTTAAATCACAAAAATGTGATAAAATTCCATGGGGAACCTAATTTCATACTCTAACTAGAGCAAAAAGAATCACAGCAAAATTCTAAATCAAATGTCCATACAAAAATCAGCAAGTTGCAATATCAAATGAAAATGAAATAAAAGCACTTAAACTTGTAAAAATGCCATAAAAAATAAAAATGCATGAATTAATCTTTTTATTCTTTTATTATTTTCTACAGGTCTTAATGAAAATAGGAAAAAATTTCCCATCCAAAAATATTAATTTTCCAATTATTTATGAATTTTCTAAGTAACCTAAATAAAATGAAGAATTAAAATGAAAATAAAAGAAATTAAGAAAGAAGTGTGTCAGATAGCAATTATATGCAGTGTGTTTAAGCAAATGGGCTCAGAGGGGGGTGTAGATAGCCAAGCGCGTGTTAGGCCCATACCAAATTCAGAAATAACATGAAAAATAGTAAGAAAATGGACAAATACATGGTACGAATAGCAAGCAAATGCAGTGTATTTCCTAATGGGCTTCTAAACAGGGGTGTGAGTATCAGTCTTCACTTAAGCCCAATGCTTCATAATAAGTGATACGGTGCGTTTTATCTTCAAAAATCCTCTTCATAAACTGAAACGAATTCTTGTCCCTCAGATCAAGCTTTGGTCAATGGTCTTCCTAAGATCTAAGGGTGGTTAGTTCGTCTTCAACCTTTGAAAATTCTGGAGGGAAAAAGCCATGGAAGAAAAGAGCAAGGAACTTCATCTTCTCCAATTTGCAACTCCATTAATCCTTCATCAAAAATCACAACTAAGCACCCTAATTCACTCCATTCTTTACACTGAATTCAACCATGTGCTCCATGAACATTAAAACACCTTCTTCCTCAAAATACGATTGGAATCTCAGAAATTGACTAAGAACCAAATCTCACCAAACCTAAAATTGGATAGTCTAATCTCATCACCATGCTTCACTGAGTATTTCTAGCTATCAAACTAAGGTTATATCATCAAGAATCACTAGATATGAGCAAGAACAGAAATTGTGTCAATCCACTAATTGTCTCTAAACCTAACCAAATGCTACCAGAAAGCTCCCTACATCTATCTACATTGAATCTAGCTATTCAAAACCTATTGAAACTACCTAAATCAAGCCATGGAGTGAAGTTTACATACCTGTAATTTTGAGATGAACAGAGTAATCAAAGCTTCAAGATAAGCTTCAATAAGTTCCAGATACCTTCACCAACACCAAAGGATGCTTCTGTATGCAAAGAGATTGAAATGGCTTGGATTCTTGAATTCGATCTTGAGTTGCAGATGAAAAATTCCAAATGCTATCTCACAATTCTTCAATGTTCTTGCTATGGATTCTATCTGAAATCATCCACCAATGCTAGAGCAAGCTTCTGAGATCAAAAGAATGGATTGAAAGTGGTTGAAACTGTGTAACAGAATTTGGTTTGCAAGAAGAAAGTTGAAAATGCAATCTCTCGAATCTCTCTCAATTCTCACCAACCTATGATCTGAATCACTTCATATGTATATATAGAATGTGTTTGAAAGTTCTGGAAACTTCTGGATTGATCTAATGAGAAATTCACCATCTCATGTCATGCTATGTTCATGTCAACTCATGATAGCAGCTTGTATTCACCTTGTTCTGAGTCCAATTTGTCCTTAGATGAGATTTTGGAAGTGTTAGGATTCATTAAAGCTTTGGTTATGCCTTACAAAGTGGTTTTGCATT